ATATCAGTACAGGAACCTAAGATCGTTTGATCACTGTGCAGCCAAGCAAGAGTTCTCACAGAACCAGGAGACTTTTCGATTTCCCTGGGAAGTGCATCTGGCCTATTTAGATCATATATGCGAAGAACTTTTTCCATTCCTCCAGTTAGCAGAAGGTGGGTATCCTGTCCATTGAGTTAAAAAAAAAGTAGGCATCACACGCCACAAAACAGGTAATAAACATAAAAAGCACAATATGCTGGCAAAAGGATAATCCGGACAAGGCTCAATAAAGATCTATACGCATTTATAATTTTGTCACTTGTAAACAAGATCACTTTATCTTCACCCCTACAGCACAATTTGCAGGGAAAAAAAAAATCAGAACTCTTGTCTGTATAAAACTATTACACAGTCCAAAAGGACCAGAAAAATACTTCTAAAAAACAGAAGCAAAGACACAGCCTCAAAAATTATCTATAACCAAAAAAATAAAAATAAAAATAAAAATAAAGGACATTCATCAAGAGTGTTTGCATCAGTTATTTAGTACCTCTGAAAAGGCACAAGCACGGACTATGTGCTTGTGCTCAAATGAATGCAACTCGTCCCCGGTCAATGCATCCCATATTTTCCTGCAGCAGGTCGACATAATTAGGACATGATGGCATATTACGAGCGGTTAACAAACTTCGAACGGATAGATAGCATCATTTAGAGAAAACTCAAGTAGCATTTAATATGAACACAAAGGACAACAGCAAGAAATTGACCACATACGCAGAGAAATCAGCCGATGCAGAGGCAGCACGCATTGCATGTTTATCCAGGCAACAACACCACACAGCACCTTTATGTCCTTGAAAAGTTCCAATCCAATCACCAGTCTCTCCATTCCTCAACATTGGTGTTGAATCTGAAACGAGATGCAAACTCTTATTGCATGTATAAAACCAAAGAATCACTTGTACAAAAATTTCCAATTCATGTCATTTGCAAGCATATGCAACTTAAACTGCATGAGATTCATATTGAGGACTAAGAGAGGAAGTACAAACTGGTCCACATTACAAAAATCGAGATAAAACTGAAAGTTGTATAATACGGTTAAGCATAGTATTTGGAATATCTCTATCATAGATAAACAATCATTTAAACTGTCTACGGACCCAAAATGAAAAATGTTGACCCATACAGAGCCACAGTTAAACTTCTCCTGGCTCATGATTACCAATTAACCCAGGTTTTCCTAAATGTTGGAATATTTTGATATTTGAAAATCTCACAATATCCAGTCAGAAATAGCTGACACATATTAACATTGATTTATCAGGTAACGTAACAATTTGTGCAAATGGGCATAAAACAGGAGAAGAATAACAACGGCATAATTAAATGAGACTTCACCTCTAGACAAAGAAAGAACAATTTCAATTAATAAACATTTTTCCATAATAACACTAATCTGTGGTTGATGAATAATCCAAATTGTTGCATGAGTACAGAAAAGAGGAAGCAGATGAACTCAATTAATGAAATAGTTTCCATATGAATATATTATGGTTAAACCATTTTTCTTTGGCATGCTTGCCTATTGCCCAACCAATCGATATGCATACGCAAAACATTGTTTACGGCATTGATCACTAGATATGTCACTATTTTCCATCTCACCAAACAAGTTGTTTAAAGCATTTATATAATCCAGAAAAAGATTTAAAAAAAAAAATCACTGTTAAATTTCTGCTATGATTTTCACCACCTGACCACATTAAATGTACATTATAGACACTAACCTTATCAGCAGCAGCCAAACAGATAAAACAAATGACCCCACCTATTAACACTAAACTACCCATAAAAGCATCTTTCGAGCACGTATATTAATGAAGTCCCTTAGACATTCTTACTAAATTTGAAATTAGGGGCTATAAAAATAATACAGAAGAAGTAAAAAATCCTCAAACTAAAGAGTGACTTCATCTAGATTCTCTTTCTCTCTTCATGCCTATTTCATGTCAATCTAGAATCACTTTCGAATGTGATATATACTGGACCATAAATAAGTATGCATCATAGCTCCAACATAATGATCTAGAAGAATAACTAGCTAAGCACGGTCACAAGTTGCACAAGGGTAAACAGTGATCAACCTATTAACACTAAACTACCCATAAAAGCATCTTTCGAGCACGTATGAAGTACCTTAAGACATTCTCACTAAATTTGAAATTAGGGGCTATAAGAATAATACCGAAGAAGTAAAAAATCCTCAAACTAAAGAGTTTACTTCATCTAGATTCTCTTTATCTCTTCATGCCTATTTCAAGTCAATCTAGAATCACTTTCCAATGTGATATATACTGGACCATAAATAAGTATGCATCATAGCTCCAACATAATGATCTAGAAGAATAACTAGCTAAGCACGGTCACAAGTCGCACGAGGGTAAACAGTGATCAATATAATTGCATT